CATCTGCCAAAGCGAGACCCGCTGGGTGCTGCTCCCAGCCGGGCTGTGCGATGCCCCCAGCGCACCACCCACAGTCCTGCCCGAAAATCGTGGCTCCCCATCTGAAGCGAGACCTTAGTTCATGCATCTTTGCTGCTTTCTTCCTGGCAAAGTTTGGGGGAACAGGATGGGGACCCCCAAAGGCTGCCTGGACCAGCGGGGCTCAGCCAAGGTGTTTGACTACGGCAAACAGCCCTGGTGTACTCTGATGCCACCACGATGTGACACTTACAGGTTCCTGCTCCGTTTCTTGTGGGAGGCCTCGTCCCCTTCGTCACAGCTGCATTCGGGGTCGGCGCCACTCAGCTTGGGGGGAACAGAAAAAGAGTGTTTGCATCAGCATGCCAGTGCATGGCCACAGTGCCACTCCAAGTGTCACCAACCAGCACTGCCAGCATCCCCCATGGTCCCCACACCCACACAGCCCAGAGCTGGCTGCAGCAATGCAATGGGTAAGGTCCTCCCCGCTCTGGCATGGGAATCTGTGTTCCCCCGGCCATCCTGTGCCACCTCCAGCCTGTGGTGTTCCTGGAGCATCTAAGGAGACATGGCAGCTGGTGGCCCAGGTACCCCTCCAGGTTCAAGATGCTGACAGGGGAGGACACCCGCATCCCCAGCCCTGATGCTTCTGCTCCTGCTGTTTTGAGTGGGCACAGGGACACCCACCACCACCACCCCCCCAGCCCGCAGAGCACCTTGTCTCCTCAGACCCAGGCTGGGCACCCAAAATCATTCAGGGGTCCCCCCAGCAGTCCACACGGAGGAAAAATCTGAGCAGTTTTGAATCATATCATGGCAGCTTTCAAGCCCAAGGAGCACCCAAAGGGCTCCACTCCCTGACTCCACTCCCCAGGGCAGCCTGGGCAAACAGAGGGGACCCCGGATGCACTGCGAGCTCAGGTCAGCACCAGCACAGCCTCAGAGTCATGAAGCCTGGGGCCAGGCATGGGAATCTCTGGGACCACCAGAGCTCAGGAGCTTTAGGAATTCATGCCTTACTGAGCGAGACTGGAAGATGCTTGCGTCCAGCTTGACCCCACACCCGAGCCCAGCCCCACACTGCTGGGGCTGCAGGGTGCTTTCCAGGATCGCCGCCCCGCGGCCATGCCGTGGGAACCCGCTGTGCAGCTCCACAGCCCCGGGCTCGAGGCTTTTGACACTTCCTTCCATTCTGCGCCCGGGTTTCCGGAGTTTATCGGCCCCAAACAATGCAGCCCTTGCAAAGCACCTTCCCCAAGCAGATAGGGCCCCAGCAGGCAGGCTGGCCGGGGCGACACGCAGCCGGAGCATGTTTCCTGACATTGTCCAGAGAGGCTCCACCGCGCTCAGGGACAAAGGCAGCAGCTGAGCTCACCCAAGGAGTCACAGCGCTCCCGGCCACAATATGCTCTTAAAACAACTACCTCCCAACCCCAACCATGGGAAGGAGGGGAGGCACGCTGGGCACGACAGCGTTAAAAGGGCCAGCAAATGAGCCCCTCTGCAACGCTCCCAGAGGGGGAATAAAAAACTGACACCTTGATGGATGCGCTGGACCTGCTGCCGAGGCCACTGGGTGCAGGTACTGCCGGTGCTCGGCAGCTTGGTGCTGCCGCTGGAGGGGATCCAGGGGGGAATTGTACATCAGTGTCCTGCTCCAGAGACCTCGGAGGGTTTCATCTGACTAGTCAAAAGGCACAGCTTGACAGAAGTCCCTCCGAAGTGTAGGCAGGGGGGTGGCAGTACCCCAAAACCCTGTGCAGGCTGTGGGCCAGCACCGTGTCCAGCTCCTCTGCCGGCTGCGGCTCCCAGGCAGTCTTGGCCTCTCCGCAGGCTCCCAGAGAGGCAGGGCAGTGGGAGCAGGCAGGCAGTACCCAGGAGGGCATATGGGCAGGGGGTTAAGGCACTCTCCAGACAGAGCCAGACAGAGCTGCTGTAGGGCTGGAAGTGGGAGCACCAGAAGTTCCAGTAGCCACGCTGCCCTCACCACTGGCACAGGCTGCCCCTCTCCCTGCTCCAGAAAAACCCCGTCTCATCAGCACCAGAGCAATTTAATCCAGGAGGAGCTCAGCTTCCCCCCCACTGAAAAACATCCACTTAGATCAGCCCAGAAGGTGCATCTGGGGGCTCCCTGGGGCAGGAGCGGGGTGTGCTGCTCAGGTCTCCCCCCAGCAGCAAGCATCCAGCCCGCACAGTGTCAGCCAGCGCTGAAGCAGGCTCTGGCCGCAGAGCTGTGTGCTCCCAGGCTGCACACACAGTGGCACTGTGAAACCTCTTTCCAGGAGCCTTGTCACTGGCAGCCTTAACGGGACACTCACCAGACACGGACACTGCCACCAGCTCCACTGCACCTGCGCCAGGCAGTGCAGGTGTCCCTGTCACAAAGGGGTCCCTTCTTGGTAGGATCTGGGTCTGAATGCCCCAGCCCAGAGTTGCTGGCATAAGCATTCAAGGGAGTTTGGGGTACCCTTTTGAACAACAGTCCCATCTGACCAGCCTATTGGACCTGTAAGAGGTCTCACCAGGTGGCTGGGGACTCTGAGCCCAAAAAGGGCTCCAGAGACAGCATCAGAGGCAGCTTTTGAAGCAGCATGAGCCTGAAAGGGAGAGGGTTAACCCCATCATGGGTTTAACCCCATCATGCTGCAGTGCTTGGTGGCATGCAGGGCTCTGTGCCAGCCTCCCCAGCCAAGGAGCCAGCCACCATGGAGCAGCAGACAGTGTGGTCCTGCACTCTGCAAGGTGGTCCTGAGCAGCACAACACGGTCCTTAGCCATGTAACGTGGTCCTGAGTGGCACAACACAATCCTGAGCAGCGCAATGCGGTCCTGAGCCAAGCAATGCAGCCCTGAGCAGAGCCGTACCCACAGCTGCTGGCAGAGAACAAGAGGGCACAGCATGGTCAGGCAGAGCAGGGTGCTTGGCCGGCACCGCAGGATGGCAGGCAGCCACCCTCAGCTTCACCTCAGGTGAAGCTTCCACCCTCAGCTTCAGAGTGGGGCAAGCAGCACCTCCCACACAGAGTCTCTGCAGTGGCACATTGTTTCCTGTAAATATTTCTTATGCAAAAGTACAGCCAAGGCAAGCTGTACTCCAGGGGGACACGGCAAGCACCCCAGATTACTGGGCCCATGAGCATGGGCCAGCCAGAGAGAGCTCCTCTGCCACTCCTCCTCCTTTCTGCGTGTCGGGGTCAGAAATCACTGCTGACCTCAGACTTTTCCCAAGAGGGGCCATCTGCAAGTGTCAAAGCCCTACATGAGGCTGGGGCAGAAAGCTACCCCACTCCCATCAGCTCCAAGCACACCAGGGACTCATTGTCACTGAAGACCTCTGGAGCCTGGCTTTTCCCTGCCCCCACCACTGCAGGCATCGCTTGGCAAGCGCAGACACCCAGGTGCACCTCTCCCCCCACTGGCCTCAGTTCTCCAAGACATGGGAGCCCGTAGGACCTGGACACACTGGTGGGAGATGCCCACTGACAGCAGCAGCACACTGGCTCTGGGTGACATCCCTGATTGCTAAGCATCTCCCAGAGCTGACTACGAGCGGCAGGGACTTTCCTCGACACTCAGATGCCAGCTTTGTCGTGGCCAGTGAGAGAGGGGCCATATGCTGGGACACCTCCACCCCAGGAGCTCCCCCATCCCCACGGCCCAGCAGGAGCCAGCCACCCCGCAGAGCCAGCACCGGCTCACGTACCTTCCTGTGGCCCGAAAACAGCAGGGTGAGCTGGTGGATGGAGCCGCCGTTTTTGGCGAGCTCTTTCTTGAGGGTCCTGGGGGAGGGCAGGGCCCAGTGGCCCTTGGTGCCCTGGCTGTCCGAGCAGTTGAGGGTGGTGTCGGAGGTGAAGCAGTGGCTCTTGGCCTCCTGCAGCAGGCTGCCCTCGCTGTGGGTCCGGCGCCGCAGGGAGCTCTGCACGCTCAGCGTGTAGACAGGCTGACAGCCCGATGTCTCGATCATGCTGCTGCGCTTCGCCTCGTTCCTCTCCAAGTAGTGCTCATCGCTGTCCTCCTCCTCCTCATCCTCTTCCTCATCTTCCTCCTCCTCATCCTCCTCCTCATCCTCGCCATCCGTGGTACCACCCGCTGTGCCCGCCGCACTCTGGCTGAAGGTGCTGTCAAGCCGCAGCTCAGGGATGACAAAGGCTGGCAGGGAGCTGGGCTGCTCCTCTCCCTTCTCAGTGGCCACCAGCTGCTTTTCTGCCAGGACAGGATCCTGGGTGGCCCCCAGAGCTTCCCGGGACTTGGCCGGAGATGGTGCCTCTGTGGCAGGAGGAGCATCACCTGCTGCCACCTTCCCATCCCCCGAGTGCATCTGCCCCAGCTTCTCAGCATCCGTCTCCAGCATCTGTCCAGAAGAGAAGATAAAGAAGGATGAAGGCAGAAGCACCCAAATCTCTTGCTGGCCACCTTCCTGGGGAGCCTCTCACCTAACACAAGGCTCGCCCCAATTCATACAGCCCTAACGGTGCTCCGGTGGGGTGGGACAGCATCGTCCCGAGGTGGTGGCAGATCGACTGCTGCTCCCACAGTATCCAATCCTGCTCCTGATCCCTGGATTACTGGGTTTCCCCACAGCGAGCTGGTCACTACAGGGCAGGAGTGGGATGGGTCCCCCCAGCTCCCACCTCCAGCACCCAGCAGCGCCGGCGGGTTGGGAGGAAACCAGGGCCGGTGGTGGGTGGCTCAGCTGGGCAGCACAGCCACGCAGATGGGCTTGGCTCCAGCAGCAGAGGCAGAGCCGGTAACATCATCCTTACCCCGATGGCTCCCCTGTCTCCCTGGGAGCTGCTGGGGGGGCTCAGCCCTGCAGAGATCTTCCCCGAGGTCAGCAGAGAAAACCAGCAGCTCTCGTCCGGCAGCTCCGGCCCCTCCTGCGCTGCGTTATTAAATGCAGAAGGGAAGTGCCAGGCTCTGCTCATCTGCAGATTGCCCAAGCGCAGCCCGGCCATGGCCACGAGCAGCTCAGCCTCCTGTGCGGGGCCCTGGCTGTGGGGCTCCCCAAGGCCACCCCACCGTGCCCTGCGCAGACGTGGCCTGCACAACCACAACCCCTCGACCAGCCCTTTTTGGGTTTTTAAGCCTTTGGGCTGTTTTTTGCCAGACCCCTCTGCAGCCAGGAAAGGCCTGAGCAAGCTCTGCCCTTTCAAAGGAAAAAAGCCTGGGGTAGCCCAAGGGAAAAAACCACCAAGATCTTTTAGTGAGCAGGGGGATCCTGCGATGAACACCCCCTCCCACCCCCAGCCAGAGCTGGGTTCCCTCTTCACTGTGATTTTCCCTCTGCACAGAGCCTGCCTGAGCCAAAGGGACAAAACCAGCTCAGCAGGGGAAAAGACCAAAGCAGAGGAAAATCCTTCCTCTGGGAAGCAATTCCCACCTATGCAGACCCTGTGGGGCTGGGACAGGGGTTATTATACCGGACCAGCCCCAGGTAACAAGTCACCCAGAAAAAATGTCACTGTACCCCCTGTTAAGATCCAAGCATTTTCACGAGCCCAATGGCAACCACCAAGCTGGAGTTAACAAAACCATCACCCCTGTATAAACTAGCTTGACTCCAGCTTCAAAACGAGCAGCGGCCCTGGGAATTAGCCCATCCAGCCTCACACCGCAGTGGGAAGAAAGGCAGCCACAGAGTGGATGGAGGCTGTATCCCCGCGGTGGTCCTGGCTGGTGACAGCAGACCCCCAGAGCTGGCCTCTGGGACAACCAATCTGCTGCTAAACACCTCCTCACCCTGCCGAGCTGGTGGACATGGATTATAACCTGCTACTGGATATTGCCAGGGAGCTGTATCCAGACGTCGGTCATCATTCCCAGGAAATACCCTGGAGCTGGTTAAGCCTCAGCTTCAGCACCATCCGTTCTGCACAGAGGGTATGGCGCAGATTTCGCGTGGCGCTCGGCAGCACCCACAGACACCCATCTGAGCTAACGGGTTCCAAAAGTGAGCCAGATTTCCAAAAAGACGCTTGAGTTCATCACCACAGTCAGCTGCCTGGGCAGCACCAGAGGAGCTCACGCATGTCCGCCTGCGCCTCGTCGGGTTTTATCATGCCCAAAGGCTCCCCTTTAAATCTACAAGCACGGAGAGGACCAGCTCTGTCCCCTTCCAGTCTGACTTGCCACAGGCAGCGATTCAGCATCACAAACTGCCCCAACTAAAAATCAGAGACCATCATGTCCCCATCCCCATCTGCAATATCTGCCCCATCCTCAAAACAGCTGGATTTGGTGGGAGGCACAAAGCGCATGTTCAGTTTACCCCGTCTTTGGGGCTGTTTCACTCCCCCCTCCCAATAATTTCTTGTAAAAATCAAATGTTTCCAGACTTGCCGTGCAAGGATGCTGTTTGCACCAGCGTGTGTTTTAACGATGCTGTTTATGCCTTATTTGTATTGCAATCACTGTCATCATTATTTCATGAAATAATTAGAGGAAAAACCCACGCAGCCCTCAATTCCCTCCCCTCAAAGCCCTCTCCCTTCCCAAGAGCTCCCTATCTGTCCAGTCCTTCTGCTTAATATTGCTGGTTGCCCGCATCAGATAAGGCTCTAGAAGGAAATGAACAGGCTCCTTTAAAATGAGAGACATTTGGGGATTAAATTAAATCCCTGCACTAATTCAATCAGAGACTCTGCTGTTCTTCAGTGTCACGGAGGATATGAGCAGGAGCCTCACCACTGAGCGAGGTTTCCATCTCGGGTTGGAAGCATCACCGGGGCTGTGAAATCCCATCCTGGCACAAGGGGAGACGGCTGAGCTCTGCTGAACAGCACCCGATGGGGAAGGGGAGATGGAAGGAAAGCGGCAGTAATGCCACCACGGCCACCCAACACGTCTGGTCGTGGCTGAAGGTAGCAGGGTTTCATCAGCATGAAGCCAAGGGCTGCCTGGCTGGACAAAGCTGATGTGGGCCAGCAAGGATGGGGATGTGACCGGTTTCCTTCTCAACATCATGGTGGCCAACGGGCTGCTGGAGGAGGCAGCAGATGGAGGCAGCGCTGACGCTGTCTGAGCAGGGAGGTGAAGGGGACATCTGTCCTTCCACCGCAAGGGTACATCCAAACCATCCCATGGTCTCACTGCAGCATGGGCCTCCCTCCCTTGGCCAGCTGCAGTAGATCAGAAGCCAGCCGCCAACATCTGGACCTCCCCATCCCTAACATCTTGGTCTTACTACTCTCAACATCTGGGTCTCCCTGCCCTCAACATCTGGGTGCCCCTGTTCTCAGAATCTGCATCTTCCCATCCTCAACATCTGGCTCTCCTTGTCCTCAGCATGTTGATCTTCCCACTCTCAACATCTGGGTTTTCCTGTCCCAAGCCATGGTGGCCTAGGGGCTTTACTACATCCTCCCTGGAGAACCTCACACATCACTCTTCCCACTTCTATCTCAGACTAAGTGGCCAAGGCAGCCATGTCCCACGAAGGGGAAGAGCTGCCTCCAAGCTCCAGGATGGCTATCAGGGGTACTTTTAGGGAAGGAGGATGATAGGTCTGAGATCAGAGCAACAGCAGTAGGGTCCGTAATATCAATTTCCCCATTCAACAAGCCTCAACACACCCAAAAAAAGCCAAACATTGCCCTGCCTGCTCCAGCATCCTCAGCCTCTGCACCTGTAATCCGCTGCCTGGACTTGCTGTGCCTTTGGGCATTACTCACCGACGCAAAAATTCTCTTGAAACCAAGATGGGGGAGAAGTACCAGGCATGCCCCCTCTTCAGCCTGCAATTCCATCAGTTTTTATCTAGCTGCTGCTAGCAACTAGAACCGTTCTCGTTTGCCAGCAGAGCATATTTCAGAGAACAGATGTGGGTTTGTCAGTGCAGCCTTGACTCCTCCAGCATTTCTTTAAATAATGTGCCCTTTCTGGTGGCCCACAGCCGGGACTTCCAGCTGGGAAAACACCAGCCCCAGAGACTGGACTGCTGTGAGCTGAAGCCTGCACTGGCCTTCCCCTGGTGCTGGCAGTTCTCCTGCTGCCAGAATTGTCATGATATGTGGCATTCCCTTAAATCCCCAGCTCCTGGGGGTCAGGGACTTTTTAGAGGCTTTCAGCTTATTTCAAAACCTCTGCTCCTCGCATTCATGGAGCTGCAGGGGCTCAAGTTACACCTGGACACAAGAAAATTTAAATTCAGCCTTTCCTAGCTCCTGATGCAGATGCTCGGGTTTCGCAATGCACATCTTTCTCTTGTGGTTCTACTGGGGAAAAAGAGGCTAAACACACCTTGGAGAATGGCCCCGCACCCAGGCAGCTCCTCAGCCAAACTCAGGGACTGGGAAAAGCAGGGAAGTCCCTGCAGGCTGTTGGACATGGAGATGAGCAGGAGAGCAAAGGACACGCTGCTCCAACTGCGTGCTCACCCCAAGAGGAGTTAAGGACCTCCCGAGATACTGCTGGAGGAGCTGCTCCCATGGGCTGACCCCAGATCAAGGCAGCCCCATCCTCCACGTATCCCATAGAGGAACCTCTCTGGCTCCTGCTGCCTTCAAATCTACCTTTGCTCTAAGGTGCTTCACCTGTCCCCCAAAGCATTTAACTCCATAGGAATGAGACCAAGTCCCTCTCCAGGGAGATTTCGGGGAGGACGCAGCCAGCTTTGCTACTGGCAGTAGATTCCCTGTGCGGAAGTAACATCCCTCCCTAGGTCAGATGGGATGCAGGGAAAACAGCACCTACATCACCAAGGGAACCGTGAGTATTTCCAAAGTAGTCTTTTCCTGAAGTGGAAGAAAAAACTTCCAATTTCAGTTCTTAGCATAGGACAAACTGTGCTCAGATCCATCAGATCAGAAACTTCTAACTGGCCCTGTGAAACTCTACCAAAACTGTTGATGATGAGCACCTCGAGACTTAAAAAGTGACCACTAAGAACATGGCTACAGGAAGCAGCTTCTAATACGCAGCAGAGGGCCGAGAGGAAGAAAACAGCCAGAAATGCAAAGCCGAACTACTGAAACGAGAACATTTTCATGGGAGTCGTGCTCATGAGGAGCATCCCCCAAGCAGCTCCACTCCTTGCCCTCCTTGAGCCGCAGCAGCTCTGTGGAGCTGGCCAGAGCCAAAGGCTTGTTCACAGCAGGATTTTCTACCCATTCCCAGCTTCATTACTGAATTGATGAATAATTGATACAGAGCAATTAGAGTAACAGCAAAAGCAAGTGCAGATGTATGAACCCAAACAGCAGGATCCAACAGTGTGCTGGGGCAGGGCAACGAGGGTGGATATATGACTCCAGTGGGACACATGTGGGGGCTGAGCATTCATACCCCAAAAAAACCACTGGGCTTTAAATGTCTCAGGGCCCTGGAAGGAGAAGTTCTCCCCTGCATGAGGGA